GAGAGTGTCTGAGTGTGAGAGTGTCTGAGTGTGAGAGTGTCTGAGTGTGTGTGTGTGTGTCTGAGTGTGTGTGTGTCAGTGTGTGTATGTCAGAGTGTGAGTGTGTGTGTGTCAGAGTGTGTGTGTGTGTCAGAGTGTGAGTGTGTGTGTGTCAGAGTGTGAGTGTGTGTGTGTGTGTCAGAGTGTGAGTGTGTGTGTCTGAGTGTGTGTACACACGGTGGGGGCGAGTGATGTCTGTGTGTGCGTGTGTTAGAATGTGTATTGGAGACAGTATGCCTGTTAAAGTGCTTGCAAGTTACAATGTGTGTGTGTATTGGAGTGAGTGCGGGAGCGAGTGACCAAGATAGTGTGCGCGTCAGGAAGAACATGTTAAAGGGAGAAATGCAAAGAAAAGCTAATGCTTGAATACGGTGCATAGGCACATGCCACGGACGACAGCAAGGTGGGATAAATGAGAATAAAAAAGGGAGACAGAGAACGATAATGTGAAGCCAAACAGCAAAGATAGAGCACGTGGAGCACATGGGGTGTGAAGCACAGCCAAGCAGCAGGCAAAAAGACAAATCCCACCATTCTCCAGGCAATGGTTTGGCAGCCGAGTCAAAACAACTCCACATAAATTATTAGCGAAACTACTATTTTCCTGATAGCCTTTATAATTTTCTTCAGGCTCCAAATAACTTCCTCACACAGTGGGCTTCCTTCAAGTTGAGATTTTTCCAGTCAATGTCCAAGTGACCAGCACTGGCTGTAGTCTAACAAAAACAGTGTGCATTGTAAGCACAGCTTATGCAAAATATTGTCATGTAGCAATCTCCTGAAAGCTTTCAGGGTGCATACAGAATTCCACAGTAGAGAGGAGGACACTCTGGGGGGATCACAACAGTGGATTCCGTTGCCTCAATATCAAGGAGGCTAGATAACATTCAAATCTGCTGCTTTTTATTAGACCAAACATCAAGTCCTCAAGTATAGTTTTGATAATGCATTCCTTATTTCAATCTGAAACGAAGACTTCATCCATATCCATTTTACTCAGGTTGCTATGAAAGTGGTTTCCTCATGAACTCATTTTCAACCTAGTGGCACCTTACAAATCCACTCTCTTGTCACCCTCAGTACCCTAGGATGAATACCAACCAGGATTGTCACTTCCTCGGTCAGTCTCTGACCTCCTTCAGACTCATATCATCATTGGTGCCATCGTTTTTAATTCTATTTGTAATAAAACTTGATAGAATGTTGAGAGATAGTCTGATCTGGAAGCTGGGCTGAATGGCCTCCTGTGTTGCGAATCTGTGCTTCCATGCATTATTTACAAATGGCGTTCAATATTATGTAAAACACACCAATTTCAAGAATCTAGAAAAGGTGTCATTAATAAAAGCTATGAACTTAGTAAGGTAACAGTGCCCATGTGACAATAGTCCTGTAAAGTGCATACAAATACCTGCATACCTAATCCAGCAAGGCCAAGTCCAGCTGAAGCAAGGATGTCAAGTCCATGACAGGATAGTCCTATGGGACATGTATGTGCTGAGGGTGCACTCGTTGTCATTGTAACACCACTGTTTTCCAAACCCAGTAGACACTTCCTTGCTTCATACATATTTGCTGCATTCCTTTCCACACTTTTCACAATCACTGACTAGCAAAAGAGAGATAGGTATCATTAATAAAAATTTACATCATCTCAAAACAGCACTTTGGATTTTAAGTGTCCACGCATATAAGCCCAGTTAACTTAAAATAACCACATGTTGAAATAATAACACAGGGGCCGGTATCTCATCACCGTTTAGTTACATTAGTCCTGACCAGCCAGCTCAAAGCCAGTCCCTGGACTGAGGAGATCTTCTGAATCTCCAGTTTATTTCTGTCAGCCAGGGCTCCCTGATTGGCCCAGGTTAATGACCCCAATCAAGGATCTCAGTCAATGAGATCCACCCTGGCCCTGGTTCCAATCACTACAGTTATATAGCCCATGGATTCACAGATCATTGGACACAAGTTCACACGTTTCAGCCCAGACTGGTGAACCATGTTGCGGGAATTAGGAGGCGATCTGAAACACAACTGAAGCTGCCGATTACTCCACACGTTCCAGAGCAAGTTTCCAAGGTGCAGCCACCTTGAGGTGAAAGGTGACACTTGGCACCAGGGCAATGGGGAAATTTGGATGGGTTTTGAATCCTGAACTCAATTATTGATAACAGATAAAATTAATTATCCCCATATTTATGAAAAGAATATTTACAAGCTTGCATATGTTTAGGATGTACAGTGGTCTGGTCTGGTAGAGGAAAACCACTTGGCAGTTTAATGAGAACAGACTCTTGTCTTAAACAAAATGTTGTTTATTCCATGATAACTTGGTACAAGTTGCACCAATAGGTCAGACATTGTTATTAAGACTTTGAAGGAATCTCGACATTAGGTCTTAACACATTCGAGATTCAAAGCAGTTCCCTTGTCACAGTCCATATGACATTATCATATTGGTGCTTCATGCTCTCCTCAGTTTTAACCCTTTCAGACCTCAACACTGTTCTCTGACAGTGTTGCAATGTATTCTGAAATAACCTGACCACGGTTACCCACTGGTCAAATGCTGATGAAGATAAAAGGCTGAACCCTTTTCACTCTCCGCTTGTATCCCAACCAACACATCACAATGTCTCACAGCCTGGATTTAAAATAAACCCTTTATCTCCACGGAAATGGTGTGAATTTTAGAGATGAGGCAGGAATATGCTCATTGAAACTCAGGCACCAAAGTGTGGGCAGTGATAACACCAACTCCAGGAGCAGTTAGAAATAGAACTGTATTTTAAACACTTCCCACGATCCTGGAGTGTGTTTAGGCCACTTGTTCCAATCTCTTGGGGAATAATACATTTGGCCTTGAAAGGAGTGCAGCACAAAGTTATCAGAATATTATGAGACCAGGTTAAATTGACGAGCCTCATATCCCCTTGAGTACAGAGACAACAGGTGACCTTTGGGCACGATTAAGTTAATTAAACAATTTGACAGAGCGGTTGGAAATAAATTATTTCTGTACAGTTTGAATCAAGGGAGCAAAACATTAAAATGAGAATTCAGCCAATGAAAGGTGAAGTCAGAAAGAGTTGTGGAAACCTCACTGATTGCTGGAAACCCTGTCAACGGGCTGAATGCGGTGCTCTGCTTTCTGGGTTCTCCGATTCACTTCAACCTTTGCTCTCAATGTTCTTCCTTCCTCTTATGTGTCGTTATTTGACTCTTTTACAATCAGATCAGTGAAACAAACATGAACGTGGTAAAGCAAGCAGTTCATCTGTATTCCGTACCTTGCTGGGCTGTTTGGGCTTTGGCTTGATGCTAATGAAGACATCCAGCTGCTCCATCAATTGAGTGATCTGCTGTGGTTCAACCTCAATCTCCTCCTTCATATCAAACATCAACACAAGAGGGAGACAACCCTGGAACACAGCGTTAGCAAAATGTTACATTGACAGGTACTGCATCAAACACTCATCTGCATTATGCAAAACCATTGCCACCTTCATAGAAAGGAACAGACTGAATCAGAGTTACATTTCAAATATGGATACACTCTTACATGAGGATAGTCTTCATTGCTTGTTGCTTAAAGCATGGCCTTGGTTGACTAGTTCAGAAGGAACTGTCAATTTAGAACTACAACAACTTGCATTTATATAGTGCCTCTAATGTACAACAAAAAAATTCCAAGGCACTCACAGGAGTATCACCAAACCAGATTTGACATCGAGCCTTGCAATAGATGTGAGGGCAACTGATCAAAAGCTTAATTAAAGAGATTGGTTGGAAGGACTGGTCTTAATGAGGAAAGACAAGGAGCAATGGGAAATTATTTAGATGGCATTTCAGAGCGTGGAGCCTTTGGTAGTACAGTCACCAATCAGGAAAAGAGAAGTGGTCAAGGTGCTGGTACTAGAGGTATGCAGAGACCTTGGGAGGATTATCCATCAACTGAAAACAGCACATGTACACTGATAACACCCAGTTCTAGCTAATTGCCATCCTGCTGAAGCCCTCCACCATTTCTCAATGGCTAGATTTGCTTGTCCAACATTCAGTAATGGATAAGGGGAAACTTCCTCCAGTTCATTCTTGGGAAACTCATTCCTCAACCCAAACTCTATTCCTTAGTGACTGGCACCATCTCTCTCCCTGATGACAACGTGAGTCTGTTTGCATTTGTTTGTAAGATGAACCAGCAACCTTCCACTTGTGCCATCAATAAGAAAACCTTTTTTTTAAATTCTGTAAAACACTAAATTCTGTCCAACATCACCCCAGCTCAGCTCATCTACTGCTGAAACTTTCATTCATCTCTCCGGACTTGACTTTTTTCGACTCTCTGCCAGCTGGCCCCTATAAACCTGAGCCCATCCAAAACTCTGTCATCCACGTTTTTACTCACACAAAGCGCTCCTCAGGCATTACCCCCTCCTGCTTCCTGACCTACCCTGGCTCCAGATCAAGTAACACATTGATTTGAAAAACCTCATGCTTCTTTTGAAATCGCTTCATTTTCTCAGTGCTGTTCATCTTCCCTAGACCTTATAGAATCCTTACAGTCTTTCACAGAATCATAGAATCCCTGCAGTGTGGAAACAGGCCCATCGGCCCAACTAGTCCACTCCGAACCTCAGAGCATCTCACCCAGACCCATCCCCCTAATCTACACATCCCTGAACACTGCAGGCAATTTAGCATGGCCAATCCACCTAGCCTGCACATCTTTGGACTGTGGGAGGAAACCGGAGCACCCGGAGGAAACCCACACAGACACAGGGAGAATGTGCAAACTCCACACAGACAGTCACCCGAGGGTGGGATCGAATCTGGGTCCCTGGTGCTGTGAGGCAGCAACGCTAACCACTGAGTCACTGTGCTGCCCCACCTTGCTATACTTCTTTAAGCTGCTCCTTAAAAACCTAAGTCTTTGAGTAATCATTTGACCATCTGCCCCAATACTGCTTTATGTAACTCGGTGTCGAATTTTGCTTTATAACATTCCTGGAAGCAGCCTGGAACATTCTATTCTGTTAAAGGTGCTATATAAACATGCAGGTTGTTGTTGTGTCGTGTCCAACATAGTTTTTCTGAGGTGCAGAGCCCAGAACAGTAGCTTTTAGTGATTGTATATGTTTATTAGGTAAAAGTGGAGGGCACTGCAACGTTAATCAAGGATGATATTGATGCAATAGTTAGAGCTGACCTATTTTCAGGAGATCAGGATGTAAAATAGGGGAAAGTAGTCACGAGTACAGGGGACCTCAGGCCTCCCAACAGTAACCACAAGTGGGGCAAAATATAGAAGAAGAAATATTGGGTGTTCGTGATAAAGATATTCACAATCATCTTTAATTTACATGTAAAAATCAGGATGTGGAGGTGCCGGCATTGGACTGGGCTGGACAAGGTCGGAAGTCACATGATACCAGGTTATAGTCCAACAGGTTTGTTTGAAAACACATGCTTTCGGAGTGTTGAAGAAGGAGCGGTGCTCCGAAAGCTTGTGACTACTGATTATGTAAAAATCAGATAGGCAATGGTTGCTGAATGCTTTAAAGATAGTTTCTTAGAGTACCATATCCTGGAATCAACAAGGAAGCAAATTATATTAGACTTGGTAAGGATATGGGATTAATTAATGATATTGGAGCAAAGGCAACCCCCTCCCCACAACCCCAGGCAGCAGTGACCACAATAGGACTATAACTAAATATAAGATTAAAAGGAGAACAGTGGGTCTCGAGCTAACATTTTAAACTTAAATAAGGGCAACTGTATGGGCATGAAAGCTAATGTGCAGTGGCAAACGAGGCCAGGGATAGACCAACAGAGACAGACAGTGGCAGACATTTGCAGGATACAAATGTTATAGGAAGAATAGAAGGGGAGGCAAAAGAGAGGGAGTTACGTTTTTGATTAGGGAGAACATCATGCCAGTGCTGACAGAAGACATTCTTGAATGTACATTCACTGCGTCTACATGGGTGGAACTGAGAAATAAAAAAGGGGAAATCACTTTGATAGTATTGTATTATAGACCCCCTAATAGTCAGTGGGAGATTGAGGAGAAAATACGTAAGGAGATTGCAGATAGCTGCAAGAATAATAGGGTTGTAATAGCAAGGGATTTTAACTTTCCTAACATCAATTGGGACTGCCATAATGTTAAGGGCTTGGATGAAGAGAAATTGTTAAGTGTGTTCAGGAAGAATTTCTCACGCAGTATGTACGTGGCCCTACTAGAGAAGGGGCAAAACTTGATGTCCTCTTGGGAAATAACACAGGGCAAGTGGAAGTGAGGGAGCACTTTGGAACCAGTGACCATAATTCTGTTAGTTTTAAAATAGCTACGGAAGAGGATAGGTCTGGTCCACAAAGTTCTAAATTGGGGCAAGGCCAATTTTGACGGTCTTAGACAGGGACTTACAAAAGTTGACGGGGGGAGGCTGTTTAGGGGCAAATGGATGTCTAGTAAGTGGGAGGCTTTCAAAAGTGAGTTAATGATGGTTCAGGGCTAGCATGTTCTTGTTAGAGTGAAGGGTAAGGCTGGCAGGAGTAGGGAACCCTGGATGACTACAGTTATTGAGGCCCTGGTCAAAACTAGTAGGCACCTGACATGTACAGGCAGCTGGGATCAAGTGAATTCCCTGAGGAGTATAGAGGATGTCGGAGTACACTTGAGAGAAATCAGGAGGGCAAAAAGGGGCAGGAGATGACTTTGCAGATAAGGTAAAGGAGAATCCAAAGGGATTCTACAAGTACACAAAGGGCAAAAGAGTAACTAGGGAATGAACAGGGCCTCTCAAAAATCAACAAGATCATCTATGTGCAGAGCCACAAGAGATGGGTGAGACCCTAAGTGAATATTTCTTGTCAATATTTACCTTCAAGAAAGGCATGGATGCTAGGGAACATGGGGAAATAAATACTGATGTCTTGATGAGAGTCCACATTACAGATGGGGGGGTTGCTGGAAGTCTTAAAATGAATTAAGGTAAATAAATCCCCGGGGCCTGAAGAAGTATATCCCAGGACTTTATGGGAGGCTAGGGAGGAAATTATGGGACCCCTAGCGGAGATATTCGTATAATCAACAGCCACGGACGAAGTGCCCGAAGATTTGAGAGTGGTTAGTGTTGCCCTATTATTTAGGAAAGGCTGCAGGGGAAGGCCTGGGAATTACAGACCAGTAAGCCTAACTTCTGTGGTGGGTAAGCTGTTAGAGAAGATTCTGACAGAAAGGATCTACAGGCATTTGGAGAAGCAAGGGCTAATTTGGGATAGTCAGCATGGCTTTGTGCACGGGAAATAGTATTTCATGAATTTCATGAATAAGTTTTTTTGAAGGGGTGACCAAGAAGGTAGATGAGGGCAGTGTGGTAGACCATCGTCCTCATGGACTTTAGCAAGGCCTTTGACAAGGTTCCACTTGCTGGGTTGTTGAATAAGGTTAACTCTCACAGGATTCAGGGAGAGCTAGCCAAATGGGCACAAAATTGGATTGAAGGTAGAAGACAGAGGGTTGTGGTAGAGTACGCCGAGAATACACCTCCTCTCACCCACCTTCCTGCAAAAATGCCATCCCCTATTCCCAATTCCTTCACCTCCACTGCATCTGCTCCTGAGATGAGGCATTCCACTCCCGGACATCCCAGATGTCCTCGTTTTTCAAGGACCACAACTTCCCCTCCACAGAGGTCGAAAACGCCCTCAACCGCATCTCTTGCGTTTCCTGCAACTCATCCCTCACACCCCCTATCCGCAATAACAACCAAAACAGAATCCCCCTCATCCTCATGTACCACCCCACCAACCTCTGGATCCAACACATCATCCTCCAGCACTTCCGCCACCTGCAATCCGACCCCACCACCAAAGACATTTTTCCCTCCCCACCCTTATCTGCTTTCCGGAGGGACCACTCTCTCCGTGACTCCCTTGTCTGCTCCACACTCCCCACCAGCCCCACCACCCCCGGCACTTTTCCCTGCAACCGCAGGAAGTGCTACACCTGCCCCCTCACCCCCATCCCAGGCCCCAAGAAAACCTTCCACATCAAACAGATGTTCACCTGCACATCCGCTAATTTGGTCTATTGTATCTGCTGTTCCCAACGTGGCCTCCTCTACATCAGGGAAACCAAGCGGAGGCTTGGAGACCGCTTTGTGGAACACCTATGCTCCGTTCGCGACAAATGACTGCACCTCCCAGTCGCGAATCACTTCAACTCCCCCTCCCACTCCTTGGATGACGTTCATCCTGGGCCTCCTCCAGTGCCACAATGATGCCATCCGAAGGTTGCAGGAACAGGACCTCATATTTCACTTGGGAACCCTGCAGCCCAATGGTATCAATGTGGACTTCCCAAGCTTCAAAATCTCCCCATCCCCGACTGCATCCCAAAACCAGCCCAGCTCGTCCCTGCCTCCCTAACCTGTCCATCCTTTCTCCCATCTATCCACTCCTCCCACCTCAACCCTCACCCCCACCTCCTAACTACCAGCCTCATCCTTGCCTCCTTGACCTGTCAGTCTTCCCTGGACTGACCAACCCCCATCCTAACTCCCCACCTACACCCACCTTTACTGGCTCCATCCCTGCCTCCATGATCTGTCCGTCTCCTCTCCACCTATTTGCTCCTCTATCCATCTTCCATCCACCTCCCCCTCTCTCTCCATTTATTTCAGAATCCCCTTCCCCGCCCCCATTTCTGAAGAAGGGTCCAGACCCGAAACGTCAGCCTTCCTGCTCCTCTGATGCTGCTTGGCCTGTTGTGTTCATCCAGTTCTACACCTTGTTATCTCAGATTCTCCAGCAATGGCAGTTCCTACTATCTCTGTGGTGGTAGAGGGTTGTTTTTCAAACTGGAGGCCTGTGAACAGCAGTGTGCCACAGGGATTGATGCTGGGTCCACTGTTATATATCACTTAGACAAATGATCTGGATGAGAATTTAGGAGATATGCATACTAAGTTTACCACTGACACCAAGATGGATGGTATAGTGGACAGTGAAGAAGGTTATCAGGGAATACAGCGAGATCTTGATCAGCTGATCCAGTGGACTGAGGAATAGCAGATGGAGTTTAATTTAGATAAATGCAAGGTGTTGCATTTTGGTGGGTCAAACCAGGGCAGGCTTACACAGTCAATGGTACGGCCCTTGGAAGTGTTATAGAACAAAGAGATCTAGGGCTACAGGTTCATAGCTCCTTGAAAATTGAGTCACAGGTAAACACGGTTGTGAAGAAGGCTTTCAGTGTGCTAGCTTTCATCGCTTACACTCAATGCTCTGACCGACAGGATGTCTTGTTGTAGCTATACAAAATGTTGGTGAGGCCACATTTGGAGTGCTGTGTGGAGTTCTTGTTTCCCTACTATAGAAGGGATATTCTTAAATTAGAAACAACATTGAAAAGATTTATTAAGATGCTGCCTGGTTTGGAAGGTTTCAGTTATAAGGAAAGGCTGGATAGGTCGGGACTTTTTTCACTGGAATGTAGGAGACAGAGGGGTGACCTTATAGAGGTGTGTAAAATCATGACAGGCATAGATAAGGTAGATAATCAACAACATTCCCCCATGGTACAGGAGTCTAAAACTAGAGGGGATAGGTTTAAGGTGAGAAGGGAGAGATACAAAAGGGTCCATGGGGCAAATTTTTCCACACAACATTGGTGCGCGTCTGGAACGGGCTAACAGAGGTAGTGGTACAGGCGAGTACAATCTTGTCATTTAAGAAACATTTAGACAGGTACATGGATGGGATAGGTATGGAGGGATATTGACCACATGCCGGCAAATAGGAGTGGTTTTAAATTGTGAAAACTGGGCAGCATGGGCAAGTTGGGCTGAAGGGCCTGCTTCCATTTCATTGACCTCTATGACTCTATTTCCTCTTGTGGATGAGTCCAGAACTGTGGGCACTGTTTTTAGGTTTCAAATTTTTTTTTTGTCTCTCGCTGGGAAGGTTAGAACAGTACAGCACAGTACAGGCCCTTCGGCCCAGTACGACTTTGGAATTCTGCTTCAGAAGGCAGTGGAGGCAGGGTCTTTGAAGAGTTGGCGTAGACGGAGAGATTCTTGTTAGGGGAAATCAAAAGGTTATCAGAGAAATGGGTATGTGGAATTCAAAACACAAGCAACTTTTATTGAATGGTGAAGTAGTCTCAAGAGGCCAAATAGCACATTTCTGCTTGTAATTTACATGATCGTATATCAGATGGATCTTCCAACACAATCAAACTACAATTAAAGCAGGATGAAAATTACCCTCCCAACTCATCAATTTTAATTGACAAATTATTTTCCACTGAGTTTATTATAACACAAAGCCTTTGGGTCAATAAACTTCACTCAACCTCAAAAGTACGATAAAAGGGATTCACAGAAAAGCAAATTTTAATCATCCAGTTCCTTTTAGGGCAAGCATGCTCAATCAGGAAATTTAGAAAAATGTTGTAATGAGGTTTTGAACAAAAATATGTATCATCTTAAATGTGTAGAGAAATAAAACTCTACATTCATTTGAGGCAGGGGAAATATTTCATTCCTGTAATGCTACTACACATTCGTAAAAATACTGCAATTCTGGCTTCATGAGTTCCATCTAGTGTACCAGTGATAAACCCGACATGGCAAATGGGAAATCACTAATTAATATCCTCCAGGAACTTGTTGAGTATAAAATCCCTGGTTCCAAACTGGAACTCATCACCTGAGCCCTTTATGAAGTAGGCACAACAGGGCTCCTGTGGCACAGTGGTAATGTCCCTACCTCTGGGTTGTGGAGGCCTGGGTTCAAGTTCCACCTGTTCTAGAGCTGTGTAATAACACTGTTGAACAGGTCAATTTGTAAATATACAGCTGACCCAACTATGACTGATTTGGTGACGGAATAAAAAAAGATTCAGTTGTGTTATAAAAAAAGTAAAAGCAGCCCCAGGCCCCTTCCCACTTTCCTTACCCCTCCCTTGTTTTTGATGGTTTACATGTAAATATCCAATTGGCTGTACGGGTGATTTACTGGTGGCAGTTAACAGCTATAAAAAAAAGTCATTGTGATTTGGTGGTGGGCAAGAAACCGTTCTGTTTGTGTGTTAGCATTTCTGAATATAAAACAAAACAGACCTATGGGCTCTTGTGGCACAGTGGTAGTGTCCTTATCTCTCAGCCAGGAGACCTGGGTTCACGTCCCACCTGCTCAAAGTGTGTAATAACATCTTTGAACAGAGTAATTAGAAAATGTTCCTTAAAGCAGACTCGAGAGTGTTTGTGGCACAGTGGCCCCAACCTCAGAGCTAGGGGACCTGGGTTCAAGTCCCACCTGCTCCAGATGTGTGTAGAACAAGTTGGAAATATTCAGTGCCTTTAATGGGAAGGTGGGGAGAGGAGTGCCATAGTAGCAATAATTCAGAGGTCCAGCTGTGCGGCGTGTGGAATTTAAATTCAATTAATAAACCTGGAATTCAAAGCCAGTCTCTGTGAAGGTGATCATGATCCAATTCTTGCAGTAAAGTAGAACCAGCGGCCTGCAGAACTGTCTGTACCGGAATGGGACTAGCCTATATATGCTCCTACTATCTCCATTTTGGTGTTCAACAATAAGCGATGTTTCTTTCCAGTCATGATTCCTGAGTTATTACATTTCCACAATGGACCAATGTTTTTATTAATGCGAATCCTTCTTAAGCTGCTGAAAACAAAAAGAAGTGAATGACATAAGAAAACCTGCATTTATTGTCCCCTCCTTGTTGCCATGCCACCCAAGCTGAACAACTTCAGAGGCCTCTAAGAGTGAACCATATCCAGGCCGGAGTGAGTAACAAGGCCAGCTCTCCATCTCCTCAAAGTCATCTGGTGACAATCCACAAATTACTAGATTTATTAAACACAGCTTCACAACTTGGAATTGTAACACCAATTAATATTTGGCACTTCACAATTCTATTGCCCGATTTTACAACACAAGTAATCTATATTTACGCGTTTGTGCAACTCTGACAAAAACACAGCTTTGTTTTCAATGTTTACTATGGCAATCCTGCATCCCAACCAATACTGAATCGTTGTTTGGTCAAATTGACAAATCGCTTCCTCATCACGTGAATAGAAGTTTCTTGCAAAATTAATCATCAGCAATTCTGTAAATATCTGATGAAAGAAGGTGCATGAGAATATTAATGCATACCATGAGGTATTGTCTAGCTAGACAGACAGACTCGATGGTGCCCTGGAGGTAGACTGTGGACTTCTTCTGGGGGCTGCTGGGGTCAGGGAAGTGGATCTGGGCTCCAGCTCGCTGCATTATGTGCTTAATATTATTGCCGTTGCGACCCATCATGAAGAGATGGTGTTGAGGTGCAATGTCTAGTTGGGTGCTGACAGGAATGGCGCTGCCCAGACCACCAGCAAGATGTTCCAACAGCATGGCAGTCCCTTCCTGGAATTAGAACAGGCAGTTTACATGTGATGCACAAAGGGTTCCACCCACAAGCCGATCTCATCCCCTTAATGATGTTGACAGACCTGTTGCATGTGACTGTACAATTAATAGTGTAGAAAAAGGCCATTTGGATTAAGTGACCCTCACCAAAGATTTCCATGACCATATTTCACCCAATCCTTTCGATTTCAATTCCTTCCATGTTCTTACGCAGCTTCCCCTTCAATGTATTTATGATTTCTGCCTCACCCATTCCCCATGGCAGCAAGTCCCACATTCCAGCAACTACTTGGGTATTTTCCAGAATTCCCTGCTGGATTTATTGATGACTCTCTTGTATTTACAGCCACCGGTTCTGCTCTCCTCACACAGGTACAAACATCTTCACTTCTATCCTAACCAATTTCCTCGTCATTTTAAGGAATTCCATTAGGTTGCCTCGCAGTCTGTTCATTTCTGGAGAAAACTGCCTCACCCTGTCCAATTTTTTTTGGTAAATATAAAAAGTACCACCCATTGTTTTGATTTTTTTTTAACCAAAGTTCCAAAAGAGTGCAACAGCTTATAAAACAGGAATTACTGCTCCAAGAAATCGAGGAAATCAGCTCCAACACTGAGAAAAACTTCAAAAAAGGAGCAGTCTTACAGCACAATTTTCTTCCATCCTCCATCATGTTGTGAAACTTGAAAGGGTTCAGAAAAGATTTACAAGGATGTTGCTGGGGTTGGAGAGTTTGAGTTATAGGGAGAGGCTGAATAGACTGGGGCTATTTTCCCTAGAGCGCTGGAGGCTGAGGGGTAACCTAATAGAGATTTATAAAATCATGAGGGGCATGGATAGGGTAAAAAGAAAAGGTCTCTTCCCTAGATTAGGGAAATTCACAACTAGAGGGCATAGGTTTCAGATGAGGGGGTAAGATTTAAAAGAGACCCAAGGGGAACTTTTTCCACACAGAATGTGGTACGTGTATGGAATGAGTTGCCAGAGGAAGTGGCGGAGGCTGATACAATTACAATGTTTAAAAGGCATCTGGATGGGTTTATGAATGAGAGGGGTTGAGGCGGATCTGGGCCAAATGTCGGCAAATGGGACTAAATTAATTTCAGATATCTGGTTGGCATAGGGCATAGAACATAGAACATAGAACATAGAACAGTACAGCACTGTACAGGCCCTTCGGCCCATAATGTTGTGCTGGCCTATTATCCTACTAAGATCAATCTACCCTGCATACCCTACATTTTACTATCCTCCATGTGCCTATCCAAGAGTCGCCTAAAAGTCTCTAAAGTATCTGACTCCACTACCACTGCCACTGCCGGCAGTGCATTCCACACGCCCACCACTCTCTGTGTGAAGAACCTACCTCTGACATTTCCCCTCATGTCTTCCTCCAATCAGCTTAAAATTATGCCCCTTGTAATAGTCATTTCTGCCTTGGGAAAAAGTCTCTGACTATCCACTCTATCTATGCCTCTCATCATCTTGCACACCTCTATCAAGTCACCTTTCATCCTTCTACGCTCCAATGAAAAAAGCCTTAGCTCCCTCAATCTTTCCGCATAAGACCTGCCCTCCAGTGCAGGCAGCATCCCGGTAAATCTCCTCTGCACCCTCTCTAAAGTTTCCACATCTTTCCTCTAATGAGGTGACCAGAACCGAACACAATATTCCAAGTGTGGTCTAACCAGAGTTTTATAGAGCTGCAGCACAACCTCAGGAATGGTAGGGGAATAGAATTTGCTGCGAGAAAAGACTCAGACAGCAGAGTTTTGGATATCTTCAAGTTTATGGAGAATATAATGTGGCAGAAAATTCACTGAATCAATATAATTGTATGATTGAGGTGAAAGTAATATTAAAATATGCAAATCCCAAACATTAGTTGTCTCAATTTTTTGTGACTGTGCAAAACTAGCTGAATAAGCAAGGACAGTAAATTAGTTCATTTGCTCTTTATAACCTCTCATTTGCTGCTGGTTATACTTTAAAATATTATTTATTGCTATGCCTTCCCTAATGATTAACAATGTTTACTTAAGATTCCTTCCTACATTTGCTTTGGACAAGTTGGACCAACGGGTCTGTGTCCATGCTGTACAGCTCTATCACTCTGTGACCTCTCAGTTCTAGTAGCACATTTGTAAATGTTTTTATGCTCCTTTATGTCTATATACTTTTTTCTTTACTATTTGGAGACCAGCACATGCAAACAGTGATCTGTTTATGTTTGGCATTTTCTGTATCAATTTTCCTTTGGGCAGTGCAAATAAATCACAGTAAAGGCCAGAGCACAAGCTGACTGTAAATAATATGAGTAGCAAATCTTTTGTTAATCATTGGTTCACCTCACTTGGACTACTATGTCCAGTTCTGGACATGATACTGTAATAAGGTTATTAAAGACTTGGACAGGGTGCAGCAGAGATCTATTAGGAATACATCAATGATGAGAGACTTCAGTTCAATAAAGAAATAAAAGAAGCTGGGATTGTTCTTCTCAGGACAGAGGAGTTATATGGAATTTTATGGAGGCACTGCTTCCAGTGGGAATAAGGCTGGATAACCAGGGAACACAGACACAAGATCATTAGCCAAAGACATAGGGTAGTTAGGAAGACATGAGACATTTCATTTTAAATACAGCAAGTCGTCATGGTCTGCAATGCACTGCCTGAAGCAATGGAAACACATTTAACAATGACTTTCAAATGGAAACTGGAGAAAGATTCCAAAATTACACATTTATAGAACTATGAGGCAAAAGTAGGGGAGTGGTATAAGCTGAATAGCTCTTTTAAAGAGCCAGTTCAGTGGTAATGGTTTCTGTCACCACCTTCTGTGCTGTAAGATTCTATTGTTCAGTCAATGTTTTGACTTGGCTCATGAGGGAGGTTGTTTTCTTTTAAATCCTAGATGTATTTACAATCTACTGCATTGCAGATAAAATCAGCATCTTTATAATTCTCACCTTGACTGCTGCAGCATTGCTTTGGGACCCTCGAATAATGACTGTGGCACCATACATACGTGACCTCTGTTTGAAGGATATGGAGATGTTATAGGTTTGGGATAGGTGCTGGATTGTGGGCGAGTTGGGGTCCGGAATTGGCTGCAAAATGCCTGCAATAGGCAGATCGAACATCATCACCAGAGGGAGCAGCTCCTAAATGTAAAACATTGACCAGTTACTATACAATAAGTGTCCATAATGAAATATTACATGCTGTAGATTCAGAACCATTACTCACTGCTTTACATTAAATAATCAATTGTTGTGTGCACCAAAAAATAAATTTTATTTCATTGTACAATCTAGGTTTATGCCTAAAGCTGCAACATACTATAAAAAAATGATAATTAATTGACTCTTTCAAGCCTCCATGATTTATTCTAATGTAATTATGGAATCACAGAATGGTTACATTACAGGAGGCCATTTGGCCCATTGTGTCTATTCCTACTCCCCAAAAGAGCAATTTTCCTACACCCTCTCCTGATAGCTCTGTCGGTTATTCCTATTCAGATAACAACCCTACGATCTACGCTTCCTGTGAATGAGCTAGTTAATTAGCCCCACTTACCCTGCTCTTTCTCCAGAAGCTCAGTAAATGTTTCCTTTCTAAGGGGAGAATGGGAATTTTGCTTGTTAGCACCTCACATCTAGGGCAAAGTGCCTACCTAATCTGTATTGGTGAATACTACTGGTTGTTAGAGTACCTTGCATCTGTAGCCAGTGGCCTGTTATATGGTAAGAGTGCGTTTTCCATGTGTTGAAAGGTGACAAGGAGCTGTAAGGACCATGTCATTTCATTTTCTGTATTTTTGATTGTGAACTAAAATGGAAAAAGGACTGTTTAAACCAAAGGACTGTGGAAGGAATTGCCGCACTTTTCAAAACATGTTGCTGGAACTCATTGTGTGCAGTGTTTATACAGCTGCTTTGTTCAAACGGTGAGGGATGATGTTTGTGGATGGACAGTGAAATTTAGCTGGCAACAAGTAGCTGATTGGTCACAATTCCACAAACCAATCATGGGTACCAAAGGTCATCAATCTAATTACAATACTGATTGGTTCCTGATTGTCCAATAGTTTCAGAGTGTGAATGGCACAGGAAGAAACTTTTGGACAGCTGGAAGGGTAGGTTGTGTGTATGTCTCTCTCTCTCTCTTGCAGTAAAAATACCTGGAACTTGAAGACCAGTTAGTTTCTCCAATAGGTTGTTGTGAGTTGTTGCCTTTCAAACAGTAACTAAGAGATTTTGTAGTTAGGATACCAATCAACCTATGCATCCTGCACAAAAGTGAAAGAACCTGGAAAAGGAGGGTGAAGATCAGAAAGCCCTAGAAAGCCAAAGGGAAACTGTGCCTGGTGCTATGGAACTGTTTCTCCCAGTTTTTTGTTCACTCCACTTACAAAAAGCATTTTTTTTGTTTGCCTCTGTCTGTGGGTGTCAGGGTTTTTAAACGAAGGTTAGAATTTAACTAGCGAAGCCATACGTTGATAGATCGTAGCTATGTATATATGATTGACATTTACTTATCTGCAGTAAATAGGAGCTCCTGCTAAGTGCAGGAACCTGGCGAGCACTTTTTTTTGTTAACCTGATCCCAACACACAGGTAAATTGGAAACTTTGCAGGTTTTGATTAAATCCTTAACTTTCGTAGCCACCTCTGGAATAGTGAGGCTTGAGAAACAGTGCACTTTCCCGAATGGGTTGTATAAGAGCAGAGTTTTCTTTTTAAAAAAAAAAGGTTGAAACTAGGTCCCGAGTTGTGAACTTTCCCAAATGTCAGGTCCTGACATTTAGCAGTCCTGTCAGGAAAGCCGGTTACAGTTTTTTTTGGGTTTCCACAGCTGGCTCTTGTGCAAATGACTGGCTTGTCACTGAAAGTGCTTCGTTTTCGCAACCATTTTATCAGATAACTAAACTCTGGTCTCAAATAATTTGCAGTTTAGAAGCTCCTCAATTTAGAATCCATTTCAAGTCCATATGAGGTTAGCTATCAGCAAATTCACGAACGAAAATGTCACCATGTCACTAGGCAACAAATAATCTCCAATGACTGCAGCTGTGCTATACATTCTGTACATTTTATTCAAACTTAAGAAATGTACTTTATTTAAAATTCAGTATACGAAGCGCCTGTTTTCAATGTGTTGCCATCTGTCAGCCAAACACTCCCATTCTTTGAATGATCCTGGAGTTTATGGTTAAAACCGAAAGGACATAATCTATGTTCTGAGGAAGGGTCGCCGGACCCGAAACGTTAGCTCTGTTTTTCCCTTCTCGGATGCTGCCAGAGCTGCTGAGCTTTTCCAGCAACTTGTTTTGTTCAGGACATAATCTAGCTCTGCTTCACTCCAAGTGATCTTACATCAGCAAGTGCCAGAGCTCCTGTCATTGGCACTACCGTAAACAGCTACCGATTATAAAAGCAGGTTAGAAACTTACTCTGATACGACCTCTGGCAGCTTCTACACCCGATGGCTGTCCTGCTATGGAGACCTGTTAAGCAGAGCAGATCCATTGCAATCAATTAGAAAAGTAATTTTCAAAACCATTTCTGGTGGTCTGTGCCCAGGGACAAATAGTGATACATTCCTGTGGACCCTACAATAGATCTTTGTGCCAGGCTGGGCTTTTCAGCACCACTGACTCTGGCAATGCAAAAATAGCTCTCTCTAATAAATAAATATAGGCAAAGGGATAATGGGCTCACAAGCACACAGGTACAGAAAATCTGAAGAACACACAGACTCTGCGAAACTCCTTTCCTAAGGACATGGGTTTGGTGAAAAATTAGAAGGTCCATCTCTAATCCCAAGTGATTCAAAATGGCAGCAGATGATAACAGAAATAGCTGGTCTTTGTGATGGAAAGGATATGTAATCAGAGGCTCTACTGAAGGTAAGACACCAGGTTGGGTTAAACCTGAACTTGTAGCTAGGGCTATAACAATGGCTTCAATGGTAAAGTACAAATGCCCTGTTGGACTCATTCCAATTTCCACCCATTCATGGAAAATGATTGGATTTTCCTTTCAGATTTTGACACAGCAGCTGTAACCAAGAGCCATTGACACAATGTATTGAAGGGTCTCAGGAAGCATCATAGAGCCGTTATGTTCACTATAGTTTTCAAGCTTTACATTCTAAAATCTTGGGCGTGCCAGCATTTTCCCTTTTTAATTTAAGACTTCCAGAATGGGCAATTTTCTTTGGGGGGAGGGGGTTCAGAGGTGTTTTTGAATTTCTCAAATTCATATGAAACTTGACGTGAGCCTATAAACCTTCTCCTGGATTCTGAAAGTTATGCTCGTCAAGAATTGACTCAAGAGGACGTTTGGTCATCTCTAACTCCAGAATCAAGCCCAATCACTCTCAACACAATCTTCAAAAGCTTTGTTAGGGTTTTGTTATTTTATGTATTGTTGTCAATTCTGCCTGTACCCTGGCTCCTACCGATATGACAACAACAGAGAATGGATCCAGACCATTCAGTGAACTGTTTCCTTTGGAGTATTGCAGGAAATGATCTGGACAGGTTGGATGAGTGGGTAAATCAATGGCAGATGCAGTAAAATTTGGATAAATGTGAGGTTATTCCCTTTGGAACCAAAAACAAGAAGACAGATTACTACCTGAATGGCTCTAAATTGGGAGAGGGGAGTGTGCAGTGGGAGAGGGGAGTGTGCAGTGGGACCTGGGTGTCCTTTTGCACCAGTCGCTGAAGGTAAGCATGCAGGTGCAGAAGGCAGTAAGAAGGCAAATGGTATGTTGGCCTTCATTGCGAGAGGTTGCGAGTACTGGAGCAGGGATGTGTCATTGCAGTTGTACGGGGCCTTGGTGAGACCACGCCTGGAATATTGTGTGCCGTTTTGGTCTCCTTTTCTGAGGAAGGATGCTCTTGCTCTCGAGGGATTCCGGGGATGACGGATTTGACATATGAGGTGAGATTGACTAGGTTGGGATTATTTTTGCTGGAGTTCAGACAAATGAAGGAGGAGCTCATAGAGACTTATAAAATTCTAACAGGACTGGACAGGGTAGATGCAGGGAGGATATTCTCGATCGTGGGTGTGCCCAGAACCAGGGGTTATAGTATGTGGATTCAGGGTAGACGATTCAGGACAGAGATGAGGAGACATTTCTTCACCCAAACAGTGGTGAGCCTGTGGAATTCATTACCACAGGAAGTAGTTGATGCCAAAACATTGAATGTATTCAAGAGGTGACTAGATATAGCACTTGGGGCAAATGGGATCAAAGGTTATGGGGAAAAAGCAGGATTAGGCTATTGAATTGGATAATCAGCCATGATCGTGAAGAATGGTGGAGCAGGCTCGAAGGGCTGAATGGCCTCCTCCTGCTCCTATCTTCTGTGTTTATATTTTTCAATGAAGTTTTGTTGGTTCTAGAGCTCATCAGATACCCCTGCAATGTGGTGAATGAAGGTGTACAGCAGTGAACTGCTGGAACACATATAGTTATGACAGGCTACTTCACCCTGCTGATAGCAGTGATTATGTCAGTCTCCAGTCTAAGCCTTAACGTAGTATTGAACCACTGTTTAAATCTTAACAGTCATGTTATAAGTAAAACCCAGCTTCATTAAAACGTAGACCAAAAGGAATATGCAAGTTTTAATTTGGAGAAACAAAATCAGTTGCCATGGTGACAATTCCTGCATCGAGTCCAGCGCTGGGGCTTGTCCATCATAGATAAGCATTCAAGGTTTGGTTCTGTCCATATTCCATATTTAACTTCTCCAAATAAAAGATTATTTTATAGAACAAAGTATTTTTGGACAAAACACCTGCACACTGCTGAGATAAGAAATACCTGACGAAGGAGCAGCGCTCCGAAAGCTCGTGATCTCTAATAAACCTGTTGGGCTATAACCTGGTGTTGTGTGACTTCTGACCTTGTCCAACCCAGTCCAATCCCAGCATATCCACATCAGAGATAACAAATTGTCTTTGTAGACAATAACATTGAAACATATCCCAAAACAGCATTATTTGTTTTACTTCTTGACTTGTCCCACAATTCTCAGCCTAGCCTCTGACCACAGCGATGGTCAGTTCTAGCTTTAAAAGATGTCATCAACGGTCATGGGTCAAGAGATGGTGTTTATGGAGTTAATAATGTGAACGCTTGTTAAACAACAAGTGATTCAAAATGGCAGCTGACGATAATGGCAATAGATGGTCTTTGTGATGGAAAGGATATGCAGTTAGAGGTTCTACTGAAGGTAAGACACCAAATCTGGTTCAACCTGTGCTAGTGGCAATTGAAGTCCCTGAGTTTGTAGCTGGGGCTATAACAATGGCTTCAATCTGCCCATTGATCAACTTTAGGAAACAACAGCTTATGCAGGAGGTGGGAGCAATGAAGAAAAATTTCCCTTCATGCCTGCCAACAATGACTTGCTCCATCTCAAAAGTTACGAAAACGGAAACGTTTAATTGGCAAATGAAGAACTTGCACTACTTTGGCATACTGTCATATCCTCAGCTTGTCTCATAGCACATTTCAACAGCAATTACTGCTTCTATGTAAGATCATGCCACAGTCAGTGTGTGTACAGCAAGACCCCACAAACAAAACAGAAATAAATACAAGACCGGAGATCTGTGTGTATTTTTTTTAAAAGATGTTCATTGAGGGACAAACTGGCATCTAGGACACTGGGAGAACATGAGATAACAAGGTGTAGAGCTGAATGAACACAGCAGGCCAA